TCAGCCTCCTGAGTAGCTGGGATTACAGGTGTATGCCATGGTACACAGCAAAAACTTTTTAAATGATAAAAGCAGTATACTGAAAGCTGGGTGCAGTGGCTCATGCCTGTAATCCCAGCACTTTGGGAGGCAAAGGCAGGTGGATCACCTAAGGTCGGGAGTTCAAGACCAGCCTTACCAATATGGAGAAACCCCATCTCTAATAAAAATATAAAATTAGTCGAGCGTGGTGGCATGCTCAGAGGTTGCACTGAGCCGAGTTTGAGACCAGTAGCTGTAGTCTCCTGATCTCACGATCCGCCCGCCTCAGCCTCCCAAAGTGCTGGGATTACAGGCTTGAGCCACTGTGCCTGTCCCCTGTTCTCCAATTTTTAAAGGCAATTCTCTTTTCTCCTTGGCCACACGGCCAAGGAGACTACATTTCCCAGGTGCCCTTGCAGTTCAGTGTCCCCACGTACTGGGTTCTGGCCAATGAGATGTGAACCGAATACCCGCCGATGAGGTTAAGTGGGTGGACCTTTTCTATGGTCTCCTTTCCCATTTACTGGATGAATGGAGCGGTCTCCAAGGATCTGGGCACGGGCGGAACTGGGAGGAGCCTAGGCCTTCTTTGCATCTCTACCCACCGATTGGATTTCAAGAAAATGAGAACTGAACTGACATTGTATTAAGCCTTTTAGAATTTAGTGTTTGTCTGCCACAGCAGCTAGCATTAACTAATATGCCTGTTACCCTAGAATGAGCCACGCAGAGAGAAAAGCACATGCAAAGGCCCAGGGCAATTGAGAAACTAATGAACGTTCCACCTGGCTGGAGTGTCTGGCGTGTGTCCGTGTAAGAGGCTGGGTGGGCAGGGGAGAGACTACAGAGACAGCCAGAAAGTAGGGCAGTGTTAAGAGGAACATGCAGGGGCTGGGCACGGTGGCTCACGCCTACAATCCCAACACTTTGGGAGGCCAAGGTGGGTGGATCACCTGAGGTCAGGAGTTCGAGACCATCCTGGCCAACATGGTGAAACCCCCATCTGTACTAAAAATACAAAAGTTAGCCAGGTGTGGTGGCATGCAGCTACCTGTTGGTCAGACCAGCCTGACCAACATGGTGAAACCCCGTTCTAATAAAAACACAAAATATTAGCTGGATGTGGTGGCATATGCCTGTAATCCCAGTTACTCAGGAGGCTGAGGCAGGAGAATCACTTGAACCCAGGAGGCAGAAGTTACAGTGAGCTGAAAACAAAATGCACCTGTAATCCCAGCTACTCAGGAGGCTGAGGCAGGAGAATCTCTTGAACCCAGAAGGCAGAGGTTGCAGTGAGCCAAGAGCACGCCACTGCACTTCAGCCTGGGCGACAGAGTGAGACTCAGTCTCAAAAAAAAAAAAAAAAAGGTACATCATGCAGGGCTTTTGGAAGCATGCTATTGAGTCTGGCCTGGATCCTATAGGCTGTAGGGAGGGACCCTTAGGAGGTCTTCAGTAGAGGAGTGAGCAGATGGGATTCCCATAGGGCCACTGGATAAGAAATGAACTGTAGGGATGAGGAAGGAGTGGAGGGAGCAGGCCGACCTCCATGGTAGTTGTTACAGCTGTGCAGGTGTGACTTGGAGCAAGGAGAAGGCTAGGGGAGGACCGCAGCTGTCTGTAGACCATGCAAAGGCGGCATTCTGTTGGTGGCGGGGTGTGGAGGAAGGGAGGGAAGAGTTGCTGTTGGGTGACTGGCTGACTGGAGGTGGAGCTAGTCCCTGAGTTGGGGAGGCCGAAAGAAGGCCACGTTGAATGCTGGGGTGTAGTGGGTGGTACCAGGTTCTGTTTAGAACATGCTGAGTCTGAGGGAGGTGTGGGATGATCATAGAATGCCTAAAGAGCAATAGGAGCAAAGAGGGGGTTCTTGGGGAGTGAGAGAGGTAGGTAGGGAGCTGGGCACAGAAGTGGGAACTGAGGCCATAGGAGTAGCTACAGTCACCGAGGGAAGGGTGAGGAGGGACAGGGAGCCTGTGCCTTCAGAGCAGGATGAAGAAGAGCCCCTAAGGTGATAAAAGAGGATGGTCAGGGCTGTATCAGAGTCTGCAGCACTGCTATTCCCCATAAACCATTCCCCAGCCAGGTGAGGTGGCATGCACTACCCAGCATTTTGGGGAGGCCAAGGCAGGCGGATTGCTTGAGCCCAGGAGGTCGAGACCAGCCTGGGCAACATAGTGAGACCCTGTCTGTACAAAAAATTTAAAAATTAGCCCACTGTGGTGGTGCATGCCTGTAGTCCCAGCTACTCAGGAGGCCTCAGCAAGAGGACCCTTTGAGCCCAGGAGTTTGAGGTTACAGTAAGCTGTGAATGTACCACTGCACTCCAAGCCTGGGCAACAGAGAAAGACCCATCTTAAAAAAACAAACCCCAAAAAACAAAAGCCATTCACCAACTGAGGCGCATCCATGCTGTTTGCTCACATGCACATACAGGAACAGGGCTCTGGCAGAGAAGGTGGTGGGCGAGGGTATCCCAGGGTTGCTTTCTGTAGCTGGAGGGGAATCCCATGGGGATATGGAAGGACCTTTTAGGAGTGGAGCAGGCCAGGCGCGGTGGCTCATGCCTGTAATCCCAGCACTTTGGGACGACAAGGTGGGTGGATCACGAGGTCAGGAGTTCAAGATCAGCCTGACCAACATGGTGAAACCTCGTTCTTCTAAAAATATAGAAAATTAGCTGGGTGTGATGGCATGTGCCTGTAATCCCAGCTACTCAGGAGGCTAAGGCAGGAGAATCACTTGAACCCCGGAGGTAGAGGTTACAGTGAGCCGAGATTATGCCATTGCACTCCAACCTGGGCTACAGAGCAAGACTCAAAACAAAACAAAACAAAACAAAAAAGAGTGGAGCAAAAAAATTCTCCCTATGGTGTTCGTACTGCAGATTTGACAGCAGCTCTTACAGTTCTGAGTGTGCCTGTTCTCTGACTCAGCAATCCACCTGCAGGAACATGGTTCAAAGATAATGTAACTATTAATCTGAGATGGGCACATCAAAGTGGCCACTGCACTATCATTACCTCCAGTGCTCACAGAGCCTTTACCCCCATTTAGAAGATAAGGAAATCGAGGCTCAGAGAGGTTAAAAAAGAGTTGCCTGGCTGGGCACAGTGGCTCACGCCTGTAATCCCAGCACTTTGGGAGGCCGAGGTGGGCAGATCACCTGAGGTTGGGAGTTCAAGACCAGCCTGTCCAACATGGTGAAACCCCGTCTCTTCTATCAATACAAAAATTAGCTGGGTGTGGTGGCACATGCCTGTAATCCCAACTACTAGGGAGGCAGGAGAATCCTTGAACCCAGGACGCGAAGGTTGTAATGAGCCGAGATCTCGCCATTGCACTCTAGCCTGGGCAACAAGAGCAAAACTCTGTCTTAAAAAAAAAAAAAAAAAAAAAAAAAGTTGCCTAATATTAAACCTGGAATGCACTGTGTACAGAATAAACTTATTCATGTGGAGAAAATGTGTACATTCGTACATGTGTGTAAGGGGCTGAAAAGATACTCAATTATAAATTATAATTCCCTGGGGAGTAAGGCCATTTACTTTCTGGAACATATTTTCATTCTGTGATCACACACACACACACACACACACACACACACACACACACTTTACAAAAGAGCTTATATTACTTTGGAAAAATAAATAAAGATATTTCCACTTTGAAAATCTGCAGCCTGGCTGGAGGAAGAGGAAAAATCGGCTCATCTGAGCCCCACCTTTCCTCACTGTGTGGCCGAGACAGATATACTGCCCTCTCTGAACCTCAGTGCACCAAGTGGGGAAGGAGCAACAGGCATCTGGGACTGAGAAGGAGCTGGGAAGTGTGGGTGGCACAGCGGAAGGGGTAGATGAGATAGGTTAGCCCTCCATCTGAGGGTATTGGGGAAGTGACTTGCAAACATCCAGAAGCTTCCTCAATCTGAGCCCCTCTAGAATGGGGTGCTGGAGCAGAGAGGTGGAAGACCACTCACTGGGGCATTTCAGCTGGATCCCAACTCGCTGGCTCAGAGGGCCACTCCCAAAGTGTCAGCCCTGACATCTGGCCCCTGCTGCCCCCAGGCTGCCTGCGTGGATACAGGTGGCAGCAGCTGAGAGAGAGTAATGTGTTTTGATGATTCAGAAAGCACTTTTTGATTGTGCAGGGTCATCTCTCTCTGCTGTTTCAAAGGGCAGCCACGCCCGTGAGCTTGACAGACACCTTAACAGTCTCTCCTCCTAGCCCCATGCGATGCGTGGGGAAATTCAGGCTCAGTCACTTGTAGAGCACCTACACCACAAAGCCAAAAGGGGGAGAAAGGCCACAGCTCTTCCTGCTCTACTGCCTTGTCTGGGTAAATCGCCCCGCTTCCTGATGGCAGATTTGAGAAGCCTGAAGGAAGCTCTAACTGGGGAGCTGCAAGTCACAGCTTCATCAAGAAGTCAGTCACTTTGTCATTAGCTCCAAAAATGCTGAGAACCCGAGTTGAGTATGTAGGAGTTGATAATATCAGTCTCTGTACCTTATAACATGCCTGAAATATTTTTTAAGGATTGTTATGCACTCGTTTGCATAAAACTATGTAACAATATAAGGGTTTGTGAAAAGGTACTGACACTTGCAATGCACAATGCTGGAGATACATACACCCCCCTCTCCACTCCTGGAAACTCTCCTGGTAACTCTGCCCCCCGACCAGTTGGGTGACCTTGGGCAAGTGACTTTCCCTCTCTGAGTCTCAGTTTCTGAAAATATGGCAGGTACTATGACACTGTCACAGGCCTGCTGTGAGGCATGCAGAACCCTGTACACACCCAGCCAGCATCAGCTCCTCTGATCGATCATGCTGTATCCTCCTACCTCCCACCTGGTAGAGGAAGCAGGCTCTGTCTGTGCAGACTTCTAGAAAGCCACCATCCCCATCCAAGGCCCCGGAACTCACAGGTGGGAAGGCAGGCATCCTCTGGGCCCCCACTTCCTCCAAGATTGTCCCTCACCTGGTGATTCCAGCAGTCCCCAGCCTGATGACTCCTATGGGCACCTGGGCTCCATCCTGCTCTGCCCTGTTTGGAGTCGTGTGGAGCCCCTAAAAGGGCTCATCCAGTCAAAGTGAAGCAAGGAGCCCTCCACAAGCCTGCAGTCGGGCCCAGAATTCCATTTCTGCATCATTCTCCCAGGTTAATCATTGCCTCTTTCACTGGGTGGCACACCTAGTCCCTCAGAACCCGGTGGGAGGGGCTGTGGGGGACCCACTCCTCCCTTGCTGGGTGACACGAGGGCATCAGACCCATTAAGGGAAGGAGATGCATGAGGAGCAGGCATTCTCTGTCTGCAGGGAGCTTCCTCCAGGAAGGGCTCTGCCTGAGCAAGCAGGGAATGAAGCAGGCCGAGGTGGCAGCTGGGAACAGGGCTTTGTTGTCTCTGCTCCCGGGGTAGCAGCCTGCCCACCCGCTGAAGTGTCAGGCGGAGCTGGGAGCCAGGGAGGCGAGGGGGAGGGGTCCGGAGCTGAGGGTTTGGGGCGGCCCAGGCAGATCCAAGAGGGCAGGACCCCAGAGGAGCAGAGAGAGGTCATGGGTTGGGCTGGGGTCCTGAGATGGGGGCCAGGGCAAGACTCCTATGATTTGGAGTCAGCTCAGCTACCTCTGAGCCATGTGACCTTGGACAAGTCACTGAATCTCCCTGAGCCTCAGTATCCCCCTCTGGATAATGGGGATAGGTAGCAATGCCTCCTTCACAAGACGAGAAACAGTGCGCACAGTGGCTGCTCTGGCCCAGGCCTGCCCTCCTGTGCCCACTGTGTGACCCTGGACAAGCCTCATCCTCTCTGGGCCTCAGGTCATCCCGTCAGTAAAGGAAGAGGTTGGATTTTCCCAACTGAAATGGACAGTCCTCCACACCTCTCTTCCTTCTGGAGGATTCTCATGGCAACTTCCACCTGTCATCGAGGAAGCCCAGCTGGGGGATCAGGTGTCAGGCCTGCTGCCCACTCTCCCCTTCCCTCCTCCTGGTGTGGGTTACAGCAGCCAGACGTGCTGTGCTGTCACCTCTCTGGGTGGGGCAGTTCCCATTGGGAAGGGCTTGGTCTGTGGTGTGCTCTGTGCTGGTACCAAAATGCTGGCCTGGCACCGAGGGGGCAGACCAAGTTGGACTCCCTTCCTGGGCACTGGCCTAGGAAACGGGAACTGTGGGACTTCCTATGGGACTCGTCCTGGATGCCAGGATTTGTCCCGCCCTCCCAAACCTCTCCTTGGTGGCTTTGCTTCCTCTGGGGTACAGGTCAGGGCCTTGCCCCAGCAGAGGGGATCCATCCCTTACTATGGTCTCCGGCTCCAGCACTGACCCCTTTCCTGGGGAGGGCCGATGGAGACAGAGGAGATATCAGCCCATCCTCCCCTAGGGCTCAGGTCACTGTGTCCAGGATTAATCATTAACCACTCCCAGCTCCAGCCCAGCCCCAGCAGCCTGCCTTCTGCCCCACCCATCCCACCTTCAGGGACTGAGAAGCCCTGGAAGGGGGACTGGGGGGCTAGGAGAAAAACCAAGGGCAGGGAGAGCACCAATTTTCGCCCTCCCTGGCCCCCACTGGGCCACCCTCAGGAGTGGGCAGGGGCACCCAGTGCCCGGAGCAGCTGTGCTGCACTCCTATTCCCCTCCTCCGGCACAGGTCCCAGTTTGAGGGTTCGGGTAATGTGGGCGGTATCCCTAGGGAGTAGACTGAGGCAGGGCTCAAGCTGGCAGTGCGTGCTGGAGCCCGGGACGTACCTTGTCCCCGTCCTCCTCCGCCTCAGCGTGGCTGGCTCGGCCCGGGCCGCGCCGCCCGGGCGCTCACTGGGCGGCGGGGCGCACCCGCCCGGGCCCCCCGCTCCACCAGGCCTGGTCCATGCCCCCGCCCCCTCCGCCGCTGCCGCCGCACCGCGCCCGCTCCCGGCCAGGTGCGGCAGCCAGCCTGGCCCGGCCTCCGGCGCCGGGGCCAATGGACGCCCCGGGCCCCGGCCCCCTCCCCGCCCCGGGCCGGCCCCCTCCCCGCCCGGTCCCGGCCCCTCTGCACCCGCCCGAGACGCACAGAAGCAGCATTCAGCGCTCTGGGGCGCATCGCTGCGCCCCCGCCGCCGGCCCAACAAGGCCCGTTTGTCTCGGATGCGCCAACGGGGCCATTGTCCCGCCGCCAGCCCTCTGGCTCAACGGAGCCCCCAGCCCAGGAGACTCGAGGATGCCCAGGCCTTGGTGATGGTGGGGAGGGGAGCCAGGGCCCTGGGAAAAAGGCGCGGCCGGACCATTGCTTAACTTTGGTTGGGGACTGTGGGACCCTTAGGATCCAGTGGATCCTATGGCTTCTTGCTCTAGGCAGTGCCAACTGGGGACAACGCATTTTTGGCATTCATGGGAGTGGGGGGAGCTCAACCAAGAGGCTGAGCTCCCACTGGTCCTGCCACCTGGAGGTCTCAGCTGTCACTCTCTAGGGTGCCAGAGGGCTGAGTAGGGTCATCAGGTGGCAGGTGTCCCATCTGGGCCGTCTCATTTTCTAAGCCTGGGCTTTCCTTCTTCACCCCAGAGGAGCAAGACCACGGATTAAGACCAATGCCTGCCAGGGGCCAGTAATCCTCAGCACCAGCTGTGGGCAGTAAGGAACCAGCTGGCCACAGTGGGGCCTGGGACGCGTCAGAGCCCCGCTGCCCCCGCCATTACTGGGCGATTCCGGAATGGGGAAAATTCCATATCAGCACGGCTGCCAGGGATTTTTCCGTATCTGATAGGCCTGCACCCCAGCCTCATAGCCCTGGATGCACAGGCCCCCAAACAGGCCTGAGTTGTCCCCTGGGGCTGCAGGCTCTGGCTCCAGAGGTCCTGACCCTCTGTTCCTGCCTCTAGAGGCAACCCTATTCCCTCCCATCGTGGTGTGCATGACAGTGGGAATGGCACACGGCCCTCTCCTCCCACCCATAGCCAGACCCAGCTGAGGCGGGGGCCTGGGTTTTCTGCTACTCAGGCTGGAGTCTGCCCAAGCTCTTGCCTTCCCCCTGCACAGGTTCAACCTACAGCCACTGCCACAAAAACATTCTCTGCCCACAGTTAGCAAATAGTGAGAGACAGAGGGCAAGGTGCATAGATTTAGAGAAGGTAAAGCCATTCCAAACCCACACTTCCTCAGCCTGGCCCCACCCCCCAGGGGTACCTTGGGGAGTTTGTCCTGGTAGGGGCTCAGAGTGACCACCAAGAGCCTCAGGTTGTGGTCCTGGTTCCATCATGATGCACTGGCAGTTCCAGGTTAGGGCATGTCCCCCTGGGCATCAGCAGGGGCACTGTCAAGGTCAGCGAGGAAGCTGTCAGGTAGGCCTCACACATCACAAGTGGAGCTGCTGGTGAAGACTACGCTGGGAGGTAGCAGTTCTGCCAACGGGTCCACAAGGCAAGCTGAGGGCAGGACCTCAGCACAGGCCCACAGATCCCTCAGGCTCTGGCTTTTACCTCTGGGCCGACTCCAGCAGGAAGTGATGAAAATCAGTTGGTGTTTACCAAGTACTTACTACACACCTGACATTGCTGAGTCTATAAAGTCTGAGCCTATAAAGTTTTCACAGAGGCCGGGCGCGGTGGCTCAAGCCTGTAATCCCAGCACTTTGGGAGGCCGAGGCGGGTGGATCATGAGGTCAAGAGATCGAGACCATCCTGGTCAACATGGTGAAACCCCGTCTCTACTAAAAATACAAAAAATTAGCTGGGCATGGTGGCGCGTGCCTGTAATCCCAGCTACTCTGGAGGCTGAGGCAGGAGAATTGCCTGAACCCGGGAGGCGGAGGTTGCGGTGAGCCGAGATCGCGCCATTGCACTCCAGCCTGGGTAACAAGAGCGAAACTCCGTCCCAAAAAAAAAAAAAAAAAAGTTTTCACAGATCCCTCAACATATCCTTCTGAAAGACCAGAAAGACCAGAATTTTTTTTTTTTTTTTTTTTTTTTGAGTTGCTCTTGTTGCCCAGGCTGGAGTACAATTGCTCAGCTCAAGGCAATCTCCGCCTCCCGGGTTTAAGCAGTTCTGCCTCAGCCTCTCAAGTAGCTGGGATTACAGGCATGCACCACCACACCTGCCCAATTTTATTTTTAGTAGAGACGGGGTTTCACAATGTTGGCCAGGCTGGTATCAAACTCCAGACCTCAGGTGATCCACCCACCTCCGCCTCCCAAAGTGTTGAGATTACAGGTGTGAGCCACTGAGCCCGGCTCAAAGACCAGAATTTCTACTGGGAACTGACATGTGAGGATGCAGGTGCAGAGGAAAAGTGCCTGGGCTAGAATGTGAACCAAGGTCAGACGGGCTGCGGAGCCCAGGCCCAGAACCTCTGCGCCTACCTTTGGGATCCCCTGGACCTGAAGGGGTCCTTGGACATCCAGAGAGCTCTGAGCCGTGCCGAGGTCCATCTTGGTAAATACCCAGGTTGGCCCAGCCTGCAGCACAGAGTGCTAGGAGGGCCTCCTCCAACCCCAGAAAGGCTCATGGACACAGAATACAATTGGCACAAACGTCCAGTCATTTAATAACAAATGCTCCCCCCGCCCTCACCCCATCACAGCACCCTGAGAATCATGGGTCCAACTGTGCGGGGGGGGGGGGGCTGTGGAAAGCCAGGATGAACAGGGGCAGCAGGTAAGGGGCTGGGTGGGCCCCTGCACCTCATGTCACTGGCTCCTGGGAGCACAGAATCAGGCTGGGCACAGAGGTCTCTTCTCTGCTCAGGCACCAGCAGGGCAGCTTCATCCAAGGGAGGGCCAGGGCTGCCCATTGGCCCAGCCAGAGAGCATGAGGGATCAGGGCTGGCTGGAGAAAGAAGTGACTCTGGTCCATCACACTTCGGTCCTCTGGCCTGCCTCTGCCACGCTCAGCTGCCAGGAGCTGGCCTCAGCCCTGAGGGGCCTCCAGCGCTCACTCCGGCCTTGCCTTCTTGGCCTTCTTCTCAGACTTCACCGCCTCATCGTGGGCTTTCCGCTTCTCCGCCAGCTTGTTGGCCTGTGAGGGGGAAGGCGAAGGTCAGCCTGAGGTGTGTGGAGGGGAGGGTTGGGGGCACCGAACTCAAGGCTATCCCTTAAAAGCAGAGCTTCCAGAAAAGGTCACAGGCAAATTCCCATAGGAAAAAGATCTACTGGACCCACTTCACGGTGAGAAAACATGCCCTAGCCTTGCCTGGACATTATTGCATGGGCCCACGAATCTCAAGACAAGAGAATCCTAAACTCCCAGAGCTGGAAGGAGCCTTGGCAACTGTCCCATTTCCCTACTCCATCTGGGAAAGCCAGACGCCACTGGAACCTTCAGCAGGAGCTAGTGGAAAGGGGCACAACAGGAAGAACCTTCTTTCTGGGGTCATCTGACATCGTTTTAATTTTTTTAGAGACAGGGTCTTCCTCTGTTGCCCAGGCTGGAGCACAGAGGCACGATCATTAGCTCTCTGCAGCCTCAAACTACTGGGCTCAAACCATCCTCCCACTTCAGCCTCTAGAGTAGTTGGGATTGACTACAGGTGTGCACCAACCACCATGCCTAGCCTTTTTTTTTTTTTTTTTTTTTTGGTAGAGACATGGTCTCAATATGTTGCCAAGGCTAGTCTTGAAGTCCTGGCCTCAAGGGATCCTCCTGTCTTAGTATCCCAAAGTGCTGGGATTTCAGGCGTGAGCCACCATGCCCAGCCCCATTTGACAATAACTATTTCAAAACTGCAGCAATTATGCTTCTCTGAATTTAGCCTGCAGAATCATTCAGAGGTGGGCAGGAATGTGCTTGGGATGTTATCTGAGAATGACTAAAACTGGAGAACAATCTAATCCCATCACAGGGGACAGGCTCGGTATTGGATGAGAAGTCCATATTACGGTTAAATGAAAACTACACCTCAGGCCCGGTATGGTGGCTCACGCCTCTAAGCCCAACATTTTAGGAGGCCGAGGTGGGTGGATCACTTGAGGTCAGGAGTCCGAGACCAGCCTGGCCAAGATGGTGAAAGCCCGTCTCTACTAAAAATACAGAAGTCAGCCAGGTGGGCAGCACACACCTGTAATCCCAGCTACTTGGGAGGCTAAGGCAGGAGACTTGCTTGAACCCGAGAGGCAGACGTTGCAGTGAGCAGAGACTGCAACACTGCACTGCAGCCTGGATGACAAAGGAAGACTCTTTCTCAAAAAACAAATTATACCTCAAAACAGTCTCCAGCACGACCTCCCAAACATGGGTCATTACGTGCACAAGAGAAACCTGGAGGCTGTAGCTAATTACAGGCGGCTGTAACTACAGGCTGCTCAACTCCAAGGGCAGGGCTGTGAGCCACTCTGCATCACTCCTCGCAGGGTTCTGGGGTGCAAGAGTTTGTATTTTTAATTAGCATATATGGCTTTATGAACAAGAAAAAACAAAAGAGAGAGAAGCTTAACAAAAGCCCCCCTCATAGTCCCTGAGTCCGCCGGGAAGGCCCTGTTGGCAGAGCTCAGCAGACTCGCGAAGCAGGATGCTCGGTGGGACAGAGCCCTAAGGATAGCCTGGGCAGAGCTAGCAGTACCAGGACACCCGCGCTGGCCTGGGTCAGGGGCCCGAAGCTGGGCTGGGCCAGGCAGGCAACCTCAGGAAAAGGCTAGGAGAACCCCAGGCTGCCTAAGTTCACCTGTGCAGCTGGGTCCGGTGGCCACACCTAGGCCTCAGGCAGGTGGCAGGAACTCACCTCTCGGATTTTTC